CCTGGCGCGCCGCGCCGCCGGCGAAGCTGTACGTCAGCGCCGGATGCGTGTCGACGTCGTTGGCCGTGACGGCCGTCACCACGGCGCCCACCTGCGCGCCCTCGCTCACGTTCGTGACCGAGTGCGGCGGGAACGTCGGCCGGTTGTCGTTCACGTCGATCACACTGATGCGCAGCGCGCACGAGCCGACCATCGCCGGTCGGCCCTGGTCCGTGGCGACGATCGTCAGCTCGTACGAGGAGCGGATCTCGCGGTCCCAGCACGATGTTGGTCCTGACGACACCCGAGAACGGCGACTCGATGACGAACGCGTCGTCCAGGTTGCCTTCCAAGATGCTGTAGACCACGCTGGCGTTAGGTCCCGTGTCGGCAATCAGTCGCTGATACCTGTGGAAGGTAAAAGCCAAAGTGGAAAGTGGCAAAGTGGAAAAAAGTGGAAAAAAGTGGTAGAGTGGAAAAAACCGGTCGGCGCCTCTCAAAAAACACGTCGCTATATTCCGGCGTGATTCAACGTGGCGGTGGCGGGTCGCAGATGTCCCTGCCTCACATAGTGCTTGAATCGTTTCGTTGAGACACAAGTCACTCATTTCAATCTATCAAAATCCGAGGCAATATAACTGTACCACAAAGAGATTAACGCCTACCTATGCATAACATGCCTTCAGCAGCTGCACCTCACCGGGGGAGGGGGAGATGGAAGCGGGCAAACAAGTGGGAATAAGCAGCCGCTGGCGAAATTAAACGAGCCCCGGGTATTCCCGGCTGGCGTTTTTATCCTGCTCTGCCCCGCTCACCTGCACCACGAACGTGCCCTTGTTGTTGCCCTCCCAAACAGCGCTGATGTACTCGTCCTGCGTGAAGCGGGGGGCGCTGTCGTTCTGGTCCGTCAGCTCCACCAGCACTGAGGCGTACCTGAGGCGGGCGCCGGCCCTCTCACACACGTGCATGCACACACGCAATGTCGTCTGGGCGGCTGTGGCTCAGCTGACGCGGGGTTGTTTTAAAATTCAGCATACACTTTGCTGAAGCGTGTTGGCCGCACAGAGACGGCACCACACACCTTAACAGACCGGTGATATCAGCATCGCTTGCACCACATACTGAAGATCACGCATCAAGTCCTCACTGGTGAGGACTGGACAAGTCACAACACATCTGTGTACCTAGCTCCAGGAACCACTGCGATGACAATGACCAGGGCAGGCGCCTGACCCTTTGACAAACGTCTGCCTACAAGCCTACGCTGGCAGTTGCGTGGTTCCCTGTGCTTGTGAGCCACGTGGCCGCCCGACTCCTCATCCACAATGTGGTGGCATCGCCAGCTCGTGCGCGGCTCACACATCAGACCTACAGTCTTACCCATAGAGTGGCGTGGCGCCCTCGGCCTGCGAGACGACCACCAGCCGCAGCTGTCGCGTCAGCTCGAAGTCCAGCCGCTGCGGGTCGCGCACGCGGATCAGCCCGTTGTTGGCGTTAATCTCGAACGTGTCGTCCTCGTTGCCGGAGCCGAAGCTGTAGGTGATGCGCTGGCGGCGACCGTCGCTGCGCACGGCCGTCACCTGGCGGCCAAATGGGCAGGGTCAGGTGGGGGTCGGATCATGCCAGGTCAGATCAGGTTAAGTCAGGTCACCTGCAGCAGCCGATCAGCACACGGCAACCGCTCACTGAGAACAGCCGACTCGCAGTTACAAAGAAAGGAAATGGACTAACGGAAACGGAAACGGAAACGAAAAAGGAAACGGGCACGGACATGCAAGTTAATTCGATGCCCACAGTGGGCTGGCAGCCAGATGGGAGAAACGCAAATCTCACTCCAGTCCGGGTCGTGATGAGGCATCGTTTATTTACGAGCACGCCACGTTTGCCTCGGCGCGTGCCACCATGCGAGCCGCGTGCAGCAACGGTGCCGCAGCCGGCCCCACCGCCAGGTCGTACCTGGACGACGTCCGTGCCGGCCGGGGCGTTCTCGGCCACGGAGCCGCGGTACGTGTCGTTCTGGAAGCGCAGCGTGGTGAGCTCGCGTTGCTCGCCGACGTAGATCTCCACCAGCCCGGAGGCCGTCTGCGGCGGACTGCCGCCGTCTCGGGCGATCACCTGCAAGGCGCGAGACGCTCGCAAAGGCCGTCTAACCAGGCGAGCAGAACGCCCGGAATCCACCGGTTGTCGCGATCTCAAGCTCCCGACGCATGCTAGCAGCCAGATGTATTTTTGCAGGAGTTGTTGTCGGGATACAGTGTGCAGATGATGTTTCCTCTAAGTTCGCTCGACAGCAGGTCGCACTATTCAATGATTTAGGATGCAATTGACACACGCACGACACAGCTGCGCCGACAAGGAATTCAGTCGTGTGGTATGTCCGGGCCAGACACACATCTCACCTCCAAGTGGAACAGCCGGCCCGACTCCTTGCTGAGGGACCCAATGGCCTTCACTACGCCCGTGTCCGGGTGGATTCGGAATGGGCCGTTGGCCGGCTGGTTTGTGAAGCTGAAAACGATCGCACGCGTTACTGACGTTCGTTTGCAGAAAGAAACCGGCGTAAAAGCTGTGCACATGCGACCATACTGCTTTGAGGACTGTTCGCGATAACAAGCCGCTAAAATCGTAGCGCATTTTATGTTTTCAATTAAGTTCGCAAGACGCAAGGTCAGCCGGATATGCCGCGAACCACTCTTGAACATCAGAGATGAGTCAACGTGAATATATATCACGTTAAGAGGAAAAGGGGATTTCGGCCCGTCGGCTATGCTACAGACTGCAGAGTATTACTGCAGTGTCTGCACCTACTGCACTACGTCCCTCAAGACGATGGGGTAGGACCAGCGACTTGTCCATCAACACTGGGTTCCGGGCTGCCTCACAGCGGTCTGATCTAGACCGAGGGACACCTCGCCGGGGGAGGGGGTGGGGACGGCCAGACCCACACCGGCCGACCAGCCGGCGGCGGCACGCCCGCTGACCTGTAGCTGATCCGGCCGTTGGCGCCATCATCCTCGTCGACGGCCGTCACGGTCAACAGCTCGGCGCCCTGGCGCGTGTGGGCCGGCACGCGCGCCGTGAACGGGTAGCGCGCCAGCACCGGCCGGTGGTCGTTGGCGTCCTCGATCGTCACGGTGACCGTGGCGCGCGTGGCGCGCGCGTTGTACTGGCCGCCGTCCATCGCCTGCACTTCGAACGTGTAGGTGGACTGGCGCTCCCGGTTGAAGGTGCTGCGGAGGATCAGGTGGGGTCCGAGCATCAGCAGGGCGCACACCGCAGCCACTCTGTTACAGCGTTGGCTGAGAAGTTGTCGTTTGTCTTGCAGATTACCGCATATGTCTGGTGAAAACGCGCAGGTAGGTGATAGCGAAAGTAATCTTCTACCACGCTCATGACATTGCTTGAATGAAAGGCCTAGGAAATGGTAACAACGGTTACAAAGCCTTTAATAAAACTGGTTCACCGAACGCTTCAGCTTGACGGAAGCTACACTTACTGACCCCTGGAAAAACCAATTGCCACCGGAAGCTTTAGAAGTACGCTTTGAAAGCAATGTGCATCATAACCACAGGGAGTTAAACGACATGTCATGCTTTGTGTGCCAAGTGTGCGAAAATACAACGCACTGCCCTGTTTCCAGGGGAAGAGGGAGGAGGTGCCTATTGCACCCGCTCACCCAGCCGTGGTGATCTTGCCGCTGTCGTTGTCGATGCGGAAGCGCCACTGGGTCTCGTTATTGATGCTGTAGGTGATGCGGCCGTTCGGCCCGCTGTCGTCATCCGTGGCCTTGACCGTGATGACGTCAGTGCCCAGGGCAGCGTCTTCGGCCACCTGGGCCTGCAACGGCCAGACGGAGGTTCAGCGAGGCTGCACAGGCCACCTTACTCTCGCTGGCTCAGAAGCCGGGCCACCATGACAGCTACGTTTCTTTTTTACTGCCTAGCATATCCACAGATGCCCCGTGTCACAAGATGAGCCCAATGAAAACGGAAATGTCCGCGTGCATAGTCAAAGCAGGAGCCGGGGAAAAATGTCCGAAGGAAATTTCTTCCCTCAAGGCCTCTTACGTTGAAACTGAAATAAACGCATAACTCATAAACGTTGGGAACACTCACGAAGCCAAACGAGAACGACTTCGCAGAAAGACCATCGCAGTCATAACACCCCAGAGACCTACACTAATAAGCAGCATATTTTCTGGAGCTGCGCCCCACACCGCTCGGCCGGCCCCGGGCAGGGCGCAGGCTGACCTGGTACTGCCGCCGCTGGAACACGGGGTCGTTGTCGTTCTGGTCCTGGACGCGCACGTGCAGGTCGCACGTGGCGCGCCGGGCCGGTGAGCCGCGGTCCTGCGCAGTCACCTCCAGCCGGTAGGCGTCGCGCACCTCCCGGTCCAGCGGTCTCACCGAGAGCGCGCCAGACGCCGTGTCCAGCGAGAACTTGTTGCCCACGTTGCCGTCTGCCGCAGAGACGCGCAAGTCATGGCATGATACACATATCTCGTTGACGAGGAATGTTCAAGCGCGGCAAGTCTGCTCGCTAGAAAAATGACTGCAATAAAATTACGGCATTTTACGTGATATTTTTACAGCAGGCACGGCGCTACGCCGCAGATGTAGCCACGACAAAGTGCAGCTGCAGCGTTACCTCATAAAAAGCTGCAAAGCCGGGTACGAACTCTGCACCTTTTAAAAGGTCTTCAGGGGCCTTCAAAGGTCCTTTGCATCCGTATACATTTCCCCTCCGTTACCGTGTCGGCCCATGACGCCACACGTGGCCCCTAGCTGCCCCTCCCCTCACCGGTGATGCTGTAGATGATCTCGCCGTTCCTGCCGCTGTCAGCGTCCACGGCCACCACAGCGTGCACCACAGCCTGCTCGCTGTTCTCTGGCACGCGCAGCGGGTAGCAGGAGCCCCTGCGGCGGGTCAGGTCAGGTCAGGTCAGTGCTCCGCCGGCCCGTGACCACCGCCGGCCGGACTGGGGCCAGGAGGACGGCCCACGCCATCGAGCGGACGGCCCAGGCCGGACTGAGGCCGGGAGGACAGCCCAGGCCGTACTGGGGCCGGGAGGACGGCCCAGGCTGGACTTAAGCCGGGAGGACGGCCCAGGCCGGACTGAGGCCGGGAGGACGGCCCAGGCTGGACTGGGGCCGGGAGGACGGCCCAGGCCGGACTGGAGCCGGGAGTACGGCCCAGGCTGGAATTAAGCCGGGAGGACGGCCCAGGCCACCGGCCGGGCCACGGCGACTCGGAAGCTGCACTAGCGCAAGGCACAGGCAGGCGTCTGTCAGGACACGCTGACACGGCCGGCTGCGGTGCAAAGCTCACGGAGTGCACACTGGCCGCGACCGACGCCGACGTGCCGTGGTGCGGCGGTGCCGCACGGTGGCCAAAGCAGCGTCGGCTGACGGATCAAAACGAGGAAAGTTCCACATGCCAGCGGCCTGGCCTCATGGCAAGCTCTCAGGTGTGACTGAATTGGGCGACTTTGCTGGGACTGGAATGAGCATTAAACGGCACCAAACACCAAGCACCAAGACAGCACCAAACAACTCTTTAGGAAAAATACTCGTGTCCTTCCCACCGGTATTAGCTGGAGAAAAAGTATTTCCTTCAAAAGCATACCGCACAACTAAGAAGCAGCCATAAAGAGTGAGGGTGACCCAGTCCCCCAACTTTCTTGCGTAATCTAACAATGCGCCTATGGAGTTGCATGTAAACAACGACGTTCAATATTGAGATGCTCTTCCAATCGTTAATCTGTGGCTGGGCTGCTAAAACACGCGACGTCGCTGAAAATTTCCTGCGACAACTTGTTAACTAATGGGGCATATTTCTTGTAAGACATGGTACAAGAACGCACATCATTCCAAAACTTACTTGAACTCTGGTGAGTGGTCGTTCTCGTCGAGCACGCCGACGACGACGGTGGCGGCGTCGAGTCTAGGCGGAGTCGAGTCGAGGCGGGCGTACACGGTCAGCACGTGGGTGGCGTGCGTCTCGCGGTCCAGCCGCGCCGCCGTGCTCACCTCGCCCGTGCGCGCGTCCACGCGGAACATGTCGCCGGCCAGCCCGTCCGGAATGTGGTACGTCAGCCCGCCGTCGCCACCTGTCGGCAGCGCGTCGAAGTTCGCTCCGTACCTCCCGACGGGGCCGCAGCTGCGGCGCATTGTGCGCCCCCGCAGTCCATCCCACTCCTGCTATTGATGTGGGGTGATTTATGGCGCGGCGAGATAGCCCCAAACGAACTTTTATTGCCGGGATTTGCATTCCAGGAGTCTTGCACACCGAGATTATCGTGGCGTTGTAATGTAAATAGCGACCCGCTGCTGTGATCGCTGCTCACCCGCCGCTGTCCCGACCGCTGTCACGAACTCAACAGGGGCCGTTGCTCATCTTCGTCCGGAGTTCACCAGCAACAGCGGTCACCCAGTCCCGGCCAGAGCTCACCAGTGGCGGCTACCCGCCTTCGTCCAGAGCTCACCAGCAGCAGTGGTCCCACCCTCTTGGCCAGGGCGCATCAGCAGCCGCTACCCACCCTCGTCCAGAGCGCACCAGCAGCCGCTGCCCATACTCGTTCAGAGTGCACCAGCAGCCGCTAACCACCCTCTTCCAGGGTGCACCAGCAGCGGCCACTCCCCTTCGTCCGAGGCGCACCAGCAACGGCCACTCACCCTCGTCCAGGGCGCACCAGCAGCGGCCACTCACCCTCGTCCAGAGCGCACCAGTAGCGGCCACTCACCCCCGTCCAGAGTGCACCAGCAGCGGCCACTCACCCTCGTCCAGAGTGCACCAGTAGCGGCCACTCACCATCGTCCAGAGTGCACCAGTAGCGGCCACTCACCCTCGTCCAGAGTGCACCAGCAGCGGCCACTCACCCTCGTCCAGGGCGCACCAGCAGCGGCCACTCACCCTCGTCCAGAGTGCACCAGTAGCGGCCACTCACCCTCGTCCAGAGTGCACCAGTAGCGGCCACTCACCCTCGTCCAGATCGTCGGCCGAGACGCGCACCACGAACGAGCCGATGGGCGACTTCTCGCTGACGTTGGCCCGGTACAGCGCGCGGCCGAACAGGGGCCGGCTGTCGAGCACAGGCTGCACAGTGACGCCAACGACAGTCGAAGTCTGCTGCATTGGCTGGCCGTGGTCTGAGGCCGTCACATTCAGCGCGAACTCCGTCTGCGACTGGCCGTCCAGGGGCTTGCCCACAGATAGCAGACCTGCGAGGCCCAGGCGGCTGTCAACCCGTTGTGTTTTGTTGGCGCCGGGTCGGCCCGGCCGACGTCGCAACGTCTGCTGGCAATCGGGTGAAGAGAGTCAACCTAGCATGGGATGGTCACGCGGCAGCACTGTACCGTACGTAAAGATCACCGCAGACTTGGCTGGCGAGAAGGCCGGATGCCAGTTATTCAAAGTTCGTGGAAGTACCTGTTTTGAAAAAGCAGTACCAAGCATAACAAAGAACTTGGAGGAAAAACACTCAGCAAAGCACTCTTGCTCTTCTCAGGAAGTTCTCTGAACCCAAAACCACGCGTGCAAAGCATTCATTATCAAAATGTCAAGAGAAGAACACCGATGCCGCACATTTCTTACTTGGAATAAAGACAATGAGCGAATCACATACGTTACACAATACGCTTGTGGTATTGGTGGCGGTGGCGGCTCACTTCTTTCCACTATGACAAATCAAAACGCTCGATAGATTAGCAGCCACAATCTGGGTGTCTTCCTTCCCATAGTTGGCTTTTCTAAAGAGGGGCACACGTGGAGGACGCCGTTTCTCGCGACCGGAAATCGCCACGGCCCGCAATCCACCGCCAGCGCATTGTTGACAGCCGTGCGGTGGCCTGCTGCACCGACCAGTGGTTAGCCAAGGACTGGTCAGGCATTGCGGTTATGGCAACATGGGCCGTAACGACCTCCGCACAGACTAACGAGCTTAGGGAAACCGCATCCCGACGTGTTCCGCAATAAAGCCGAGGTTTATTGACGTTGCACTCGTTCACTAATGATGCGGCAAAGATGAAGCTTCGTGCACGGCTTCGCGGTCGCGCGCGGAAAGAGACAAAGTGTAGGGCGAATTGTACCATGCCTAGGTTTAGAGGTCAGACACACCATGCTTTCTTTGCGTTTGCCAAAGACATATCGTGAAAGAGCCCAATTGCAAAAAGTGTTAACGACGCCAGGCATTTTACCATGATCCTAAAGCTGAGTCTTTGGAAGCGGTTTTTTTACAACATGCTACGTTCCGAGCATTAGCTCGGTGTGCAGCCTGACTTGTCAGGGTGCGGCAGGATGCTGCCTGGCGTGTGCTATCACGCCGTGCCGGATCATCCAGTTCTCGGATGACGGCGATCACGGCATCATAGGCGCTCTGCAACTTCTGAGATCATGCTGTATTCAAAAGATCCCATGACTTGCAAGCAAATTTATGCCAGGAACGAGCATCAGAAGCCAAGGTCGGAGTCGGAGTCGTTCTGTTCTCCGTTTTGAGCAGATCCGTAAGCTATCTAGAGTAACTCTGTAACTAATGCGTGACCGCAAAAAGTCTTCTAAGTGGATGATATGAGCGCGAGCAGATTTATATTTACGTGACTGCAGAGATGTCGCCCGCGGCTCTGAGACCCACGACAACCAAAAGCCTGTACACAGATTGCCGGCGACCGAGACCACCTAGTCAGCACAGCACAGAGCTGGGCACGAATAACCATTGCAGTGGATGCGTTCTTAAAGCCCAATAACTTACTACCTCCGAGGGGAAACGGGAGGGGCGATCAGGCCACTCAGCGGCCCCACGTGCCGCCAGACTGCCTCGGGGACGGGGGAGGAAGTAGTCCACTCACCGGTCTCCTCATGCAGGAGGAACACCTGGTCCGGGTCGCCGTCCACGATGCGGTACGTGACGCGGCCGTTGTCGCGCGAGTCCTCGTCGACAGCGATCACGTGCAGCAGCGGATGGCCGACCGGCTCGTCGCGCTGCACGGTCAGGCCGGCGCCGCCGGCGCGCACGAACACGGGCGCGTGGTCGTTGACGTCCTCGACGATGATCTGCGAGGTGACCGAGGTGCTGAGGCGCGACTGCTCGTCCTCGCCCTGGTCCGTGGCCGTGACGATGATGGTGTACTCGGCGTGCTGCTCGTAGTCGATGGCGTCCCGCAGCGTGAGCGTGCCCGTGTACTGGTCGATGGCGAACGCCGGCTCTGGCGACTGCTGGCCCAGGCTGTACCTGAGGGGGGGGGGGACGGGTCTGTTAACACCAGCTCTGGCACTTCTGGCCCAGGCTGTACCTGAGGGTGGGGTGGGGGGGGGAGGTCTGTTAGTGGGGTAGTGGGGTGTTCTCTGAGATAGCTTCTAAGGCAATAAAGTTATTAAACTTACGATCAATTCAAATTTCATCGACCTAGGATCACATACGACGGTCAGACCGAGATCAAAACCAGCCTGATTTTTACCCGCGATTTTTTTGTATGGGGTAGCTTCTGGTGCTAATTTTGAATTCACTCATAACATGGACTGCAACAAAATTTTACATGGACTTCTTAAAGGTCAGTGTAGGTCACTGGCGTAAAATGACCCAGGTCAGTGTTTGATCTAAAGAACAGACCGCCCAGCGCCAACCCTGATACTTAATCCAACACAAAAATCACAACAATTTTTTTTTTTGGTCACCTTGACGTAATCAAGAGTAAAATATGGTCAATGACCTTAAAATAGAGCACCAGTGACCTTTGGCTTAAAACAGGTATCTGGATTCAACGCGATTGCATGGGGAGGTCTGGGGACATTTTCAACACCAATATGAAGTTTGATCTTGTTTGACTTTCTTTGGCAGAAGGCCATAACCTAGGAATCTTAGATTTTAATGCAATACATTTCATGTAGAGGCTAATTCACCCCGTGAGTTTGGAATCTCTAGCTCTATTAGTTTTTGGGGATCTCGAGGGTCAAGTTGAGCCCCACCCGGGCGAGAGTATTCCAACGGACCCCCGGGCGAGTGCTGACGCGTGTTGTCTCGGTGCAAGGATGCCGGATAAGTCCTCAGTTCTTGGGCAGCCCTCCGATCGGCAGAGTCTCCACGACTGGCGCTGGCTGCTCCGATCGCCGTCGGGGTCGTCCCCGACCTTGACAGCGCAACATCGCGTGCTCGCGGCCGGGCTTCGGTCACCCGCGTCGGCTTCTGCTGCTTCGCGTCTAGCCACTGAGGCCGCTGGGACGGACTCCCGGACGAGGAAGCGATCCTCGGCGAAATCCAGCTCACGGCACGGATTACATGCGAGACGGTCGGCGGAGCCGGAGACAGCTGGACCGGGCACGCCCGCCAGCCTCCTCGGCAGACGACAGCGGCCCCAGAACCGGACAAGAGGGCCCGCGGCTACACAGACAGGACCCACGCCTCTCTGTGAAACGGCCTCCGCGGTGATGTCACGGCGGCACCAACTCGCACCGATCATCCATCGGTGGCCACCGACGCCGCAGCTCAGCGCAAACGTGAGTCCGGCCCCCGTGATGAATTATACCGGCAAACAAGCGGCCGCTCTATGCCGAGCGAGATTTGCATGTCGCATGAGCAGCTGCTTGGGCCCCGGCTACGGTGATGGACATTGTCGATTCTGGGTTTCGAAGAAATAAGACGTTTGATGGCCATATCGGTCACGGTCCCCGGAGCCCTCCCACTGAGTCGCCGATCAAAAGGCCCGACGATTTTCATCCCTCATTTTCAGTCAGTGCCAGACAAATCGCTGCATTCTTTACCGCATCGGTGTCATTGTGTACAGATGCAATGTAGATAAACTAAACGGCATCGCTATGCACCTGGGGCTTCTTAAGTGCAGCCTACAGAATGGATGCATGTTGTCCCAGGCTGTTCTAAGACTCCCAGGTCTCCGTAAGTGGGAGCACACGTTTTGCCACATACGCAGGCGATAGCATTGGTGATGGTTGGTCTGCTTCCCTGCCTTCGTCTCCACATCCTAGGCAAAGATCGTATCCGTTGACCCAAGCACTATTCCCCTAATCCGGACGTCATGGCAAAACGGGTACCGAGAAGCTGCTTTTCGCAACGGGTGCCGAGAAGCTGTTTCTCGCAATGCCCGCAATAATGGCTACCACCCTCGTCTGGAGAACTGCGAACACGCTTGATATGCGTGACCCCTGACACCCGCATCCAACACGAAATGTCGGCCCACCCAACCCCCTCATCTGACACTGTGTGTCGATCCACGTGAATCACGCATCCGACACTGCATGTCAGCCCACCTGACACCGGACGCGACCCGCATCTGACACCGCAAGTGAGTCCACCTGACACCCGTGCCCAACACCGCCTGTCGGCCCACCCGCGCCTTTATCTGACGCCGCGTGTTTACGCACCCGACTCCCGCTTTCGACGCTGCGTGTCGGTTCATCTGACACTCTTGTCTAGCACCGCATGTCGGTCCCTCTGATATACACATCTGACATCGCGTATCGTCCCCTGACGCCCTTATCTGACACCACGTGTCGGCTCACTTGACGCCCGCAACTGACACCGCGGGCCGGCTCACTTGACACCCACATGTGACACCGCGTGTCAGCGTACCTGACAATGCCGTCGGGGCCGCTGTCGCTGTCCGTGGCCGTGAAGTTCCAAACAGCTGAGCCGGGCGCCAGATCCTCGGCCACAGAGAACAGGATCAGGTCCTCGGCGAAGGAGGGAGCGTTGTCGTTTACGTCCTGCACCAGCACGGTGACGGCTACCTCACTGTTCTGCGGGTTTGTGGCGCTGGCATCGACGGCCGAAATTTGCAGCTGGTACTCGGAGGCCATCTCGTAGTCCACCTGGCGGCGGCGACACGCACTTGCGTCAGACGCCGGGATGGAGACCCAGGAGTCCAGACACGTGTTCAATTCAGCCGCCGGAGCAGCGAGTCACGACACGCGCTCATGTTAGGCGCCGTGACGGAGTGTCATGACACGTACTCGTGTTAGCCACTGGCGCAGAGTGTCATGACTCGCGGGGGCTCCGATGGAGCCGCCGGTGCCGGCCCTTCCCGGCTCTCACTCGCGGTCCGTCTGTTGCCATGGCGACCATGCTGTTCAGCTGCCACCGGGATGAGACGCCACTCATGTGGGCCGTCCGGGTTCAGTAGTTTACTGACAAACACGCCAAAAAAACGCCTTCCTGCCTGCGATGGACGTGGCGATGGCAAAGATCAGAGTTATCGTCTTCGATATCAGAGCCTTGACGAATATAGACGGAATCCCATTGAAACACCTACCAACGTGAATGATTTTTGATCATGCTCGTCTTTATAGCTCTGCTGGCGAAAACCGTTCGTTGATTTAGCCTGCAGATATTTTTTGACTAGTATGCCTTGGAAGCCTCTGAGCAAAAGTGATTGTTGGGGATATTCGCGATTTCTCAATTCCAGACGTCCTTGTATCAATTCCATCTAACACTGTTTGACAACACTGGATTAGTCGGCAATAAAACGGACAATCTTCTGATCGAAGCAGTAAGCTTTTCGGAGAGTTGAAAATGTTTACCAGTGCTGAAGGCGGTTTGCAATTCACGAAGAAAAAGCGGTGCAACGGTTGATGTCGCTCATTCTATACCACCCAGTCACTGGCAGTCCATTACAAGCACATCCCGTAATCCACGTCCCATCCATCGACGGCGCCGGTCGTGCTTCGAGTGCATCTGATGTTAACACAACCCCAGTCTTCACACAACTGAGCCCAGACAGAGCAAATGCCAGGCCCTTACATTTCGTTTTCGTCACGGACCCTGTCACTGTGACGTTCTATCCAGGCTGAAGACATCACGCCGGAGGCGTGGCTTCGGCAGTGGTCCCCTTCGCCACCAGCACAGTGCGGGGCTCTCGCTCACCTCTCGCGTGGTGATGAGCGCGCCCGTCGCCCGGTTGATGTCGAATGTGTCGTTGAGGTTGCCGCTGAGGATGGTGTAGGTGACGCGGCCGTTCTCGCCGGCGTCCCGGTCAATGGCCTCCACCATGCCGACCTGACGGACAGCACCGTGTCCTGTCACACGCTCCTGGACGCTTGATTAATTACGCGGCCGACGCCGCATTTCGGACGTCAGCTCCACGACAGTTGCATGCGGACATTTCTGCAAATGGATGCCTGCACTGGCGAGAATGCAGTTGGTTCGGAGGACAGCATGCCGCGCGGTTCTCCGCGATGCAAGCCATGGCGCGCTGCTGGCGGTGGCGTTCGAACGCCAGGCTTCTGCTAACGACCGCGATATTTTCGGGGGCAGGGCAGCGCAATTACGTGCACAATGTCCGCGTTCGCAATGCAAGGCAGGATTATCAGATGGGTAGCGTGGATCGCTGACATGCGACTTCTAGTACAAGTTCACGGAAGCGGATGGAGTCGTCGTCCTGTGAGTGACCGGCGCAGCACGTCATTTACAGGATGTGACTGACCGGCGCAGCATGTCACTCACAGGATGTGAGTGACCGGCGCAGCACGTCACTCACAGGATGTGACTGACCGGCGCAGCACGTCACTCACAGGATGTGACTGGCCGGCGCAGCACGTCACTCACAGGATGTGACTGACCGGCGCAGCATGTCACTCACAGGATGTGAGTGACCGGCGCAGCACGTCACTCACAGGGTATCAATAATCACGTTAATAATCGCCAACGCGATAGGTCGGCGCCACAGCGCGATCACACGCAGCGGATTGGCCAGTGGTCCCACCTGGAAGCCAATCGGCGAGTTCTCCCGCACGGTGAACGACAGGCTAGAGGTGGTGAAGGTGGGTGAGTTGTCGTTCAGGTCCAGCACGTTGATGGTGAGGGGCTGGCTGGCCTGCCGAGCCGGAGCGCCGCCGTCCCGTGCCACTACCTCCAGCCGGTACACCGCCTTCGCCTGGGACACAAGCACACCTCCAGCTGCTGAGTCTGCGCTCATCCGTTTCACAGGTTCGCTGAGACCCCAGCTGCACAGCAGGCCCGCCAGTGCCAGGCTAGTGCCAGTCGGCAGGTCACGCCAGCACGCGGCTGACCTGACAACGCGCCGCTGGCAGTCCCACGAACTCACGCTGGTAGGCCTGCTGGCAGGCGGCGGCGGCCTGCGGCATGCATGACCGAAAGTTGGCGGCAGGGCCGTTCCGACCCCAGCTCGCTATAGCATATGGCTGGGACTGCTGGGACCGAACGTCGGGGGCAGGGCCGTTCCGACCCCAGCTCGCTATAGCATATGGCTGGGACTGCTGGGACCGAACGTCGGCGGCAGGGCCGTTCCGATTCTGGCTCGCTACGGCATACGGCTGTGATTGCTGTGACCGCACGCCGGCGGCAGGGCCGTTCCGTGCGCACATCGCGCACGGTTGGCAGTCCAGACGGCGCACGTCCGAGCTGGTGGGCGTACCTCGTGGTCCAGCACCCGGGTGGTGGAGATGACGCCTGTGACCGAGTCAATGCTGAACGCACCGTCCACACCCGCGTCCACACCTGCAAGAGGTCACAACGGTGTCGTCATTGGCATGCAACCGCCTATTCAGGCGGGTTGGATTTGAAAATGCTCTGTGCATACTCTTACAGAAGACCGGTCATGCTGTTCATACATACATATTTACAGCTGAGGTGGCAGAAAATCACTATGCGCGTAGAGTGGCTCCTATCTTCCAGTTCCAGGAGTGCAAGACACAGGAATGTACGGCTATCGAGCCCCACCCACCGGCCTCCCCTCCGTGTCACTGCCGAGGACCACCCAGACGGATTGCCCGTTTGCCGGCGCTAATGGTCCGCGGTCAGCCGGCACCTGAACACGGACAGCCAGCAAACGCTCCACGCGGGCCCGAGATAAGCCGACAGCAGCCACTCATAGGCCTCATGTCGACACTGCACACCGGCCTGAGATTTGTGTCCTATCACCGACTGATGGCCGTCTCTGCAACAGTCAGGTGCCAAAGCCCGCACTGGGATTTGTGATCACGTGAGCCAGGGGCTGGAATGGCCTACTGCATACATGCTCACTCATTTACCGTTGTGTCATAATGAAAAGAAATCAGATGTTCGATAGAAATCATTGAAAGCACCCGGACCTGAGCATAACCGCACGCCATATCTCCAATCCCGATCTCTATGGGCTACTGGTTTGAATATCAGCACATAGCAACAGTCCCACTGGTCGCGCGGTATGCATTTAGCCCTCGTTATCTCCGCCAATTGTGGTGGGTCTGCACCAACAACGTCAACATTGGACGCCGCCGCTCGCTGCACACACGTAGCCCATAGCTTGCCTTCACAGGCGGCACTGCGGGTCCCCGCCCGCTACCTGAACTCGAGCCGGCACCACCCCTCCCCGCCCCCTCCTGAGGGACCCCCTGCGGGTCCCCGCCCCCGCCCGCGACTCTCCCGACGCCGGCTGTGGGCGTGCCTCCCCGTTCCCTCCAGCGGCGCCCGCTGCTCTCCCAGCGCCGGCTGTGGGCGTGCCTCTCACCCCCTACGGCGGCCCCCGCGGCTCCCCCATCGCCGGGCCATAGGCGTGCCTCCCCGCCCCCTCCAGTGGCGCCCTCGGCTCACCCGGCGCCAGACTGTAGGCGATGGAGGCGTTCTGGCCCAGGTCAGCGTCGGTGGCGTGCACCTGGACCACCTCGGAGCCAGCCTGCTGCTCCTCGCGCACGCTGATGACGCCGTCCAGCGGCTCCACGAACTGCGGCTCCGAGTCGTTGTCGTCCAGCACGCGGACCTGCGGCGCACGGAGACGGTCAGTGGCCGGATCCGCGCGGTGCTCCTTCCCGCTGAGCAGTGCACCGCAGACCTGCGGCGCGCGGGGCTGACCAGCGGCTGGATCCGCGCGGTGCTCCCTCCCGCTGACCAATGCACCGCAGACCTGCGGCGCGCGGAGCTGACCAGCGGCCGGATCCACACCTGTGCTTCCGCCTGCTGACCAGTGCGCGGGTGGTGAGCTGTAACGTTCAGCGTGCTACGCACGACGCTCAATCGACGCCTGCACGTGGCGGCTGGACACGCAGTCTGGGGTGGATGAGTGTGCTGAAGCGTGCCAGCCAGTGGGTTCAGGGCTGGAAAGCCGCACCAGACTCGACGGGGTGGCGTCAGCGAGCTGTGAGGCCGCAACAATTATCATGTTGTGGTGCGGATGGAGTGACAAATCATAATGCTCCCGCGTCGAAAAAGATCCAATATGACGGAGCAAGGTGGTGTGAAAGTCTGTGCTTGCACACAGATGGTCAAAACCGTCGACACACCGTAAGTGTGGAACGCGTGCCTGTTGACGCCCAGTGGCAGTCGCGACGGATGCATTCTAGAGCAAACCTGATGATCATCACACTTATCCTAACTCCACCCGACGCGACACGAGGCCGGCACGTCGCGGTGAATGTGCCAGCGCCAGTGTCGTTACCTTGACGAGCGCAGAAGAGTGGCGCGGTGGGGAGCCGTCGTCAGAGACATCTACCGAGAACTCGTACAACTCGATCAGCTCGCGGTCCAACTCGGCGGCTGTTCTCACGGCGCCTGAGGACAACACAACGTTGGTCGTCATGGTACTTATTGACGTATTTGGCCGCTTTCATCAACTGAAACCCTTAGGAACCTGCCCAGAGGTGGGTGAGCCGAACACGTCTGTTTAAGCCTATTGTTTCCATGCGTCACCATGATGCTGATGCCGAACACTCCTAAAAATCTGGATGGTCAATGGACGATACCCTCCCCCCCCCTCCCCGTCCTTCTTCCGACATCCATGGGGCCGTTGATCCTGATACGCTCCTTAATGTGAGCCGAAGCCAGTGAAAGCTCACACTTTGAATTTCAAGCCAACACCCATCAATTGAGAGACCAGCAGCTTAAGCCGTCTGTGCTCCTACGAGTGTCAATACAGCAATACATGCAAGCAAGGAAACCAGTAGAACATTAGCCGCACACACTCACGCACACAGACGCCACAGATTACGAACAGCTCGCCGTGACTTGTCAGGCTCCTTCCCAGGCGCACGTTCGCACCAGCAATCCCCGTGAGGGTCCTCCCCGAACCCTCTCAGGCCGAGGCGGTGACGGCTGCCGGCTTTGGCGGATCGGTGACGCGGTGCTCCAGGCCGCTGGCGGGAGGCGCGCTGGCTGAGCCGGCGCCGGCGGGCCATCCGCTCGCACTCCGCTCGGCTTCGGCTCGCCAGTGTCACCCGGTTTTTTACGACAGTAAGCCGCGGTCGCAGTCTGATGGCCCGATAAGCCAACGCGACTGAGACGAGGCCCCGACCGGTCGGCCAGCGCTGTCCAGCATTCCGACGATCGGTACTTCTACCCAGTGACTGTTATGGCACAGATCAGCATGCTGAACAGGAGCAATGGGTGCCGATGAGGATGCTTAACCCTTGAGTGGGCACACTCCGCGGCTTGGAACGGCTGATCTCGAAGGCGATTATCTAAGTTGTCAAATCACCAGGAAGCATCGCCAGTGGTGCACGATCTTAGAGACGTATAAAAACGTTCAAATGCAAAGTACGGAATCACATGACGAGAAACAAATGCATTCAGGCTTTAAGCCGTTTATCAGCCTCGCTTTTGCCCGGATGCTACACGCATGAGGCGTGCTCTCCTGGTGAGCTGGATAGTGCGTGATGCACGTTCGTGGTCTTGTGATCGGGCAGGCACCAGCTGACCCTGTGCCTCATCACGAGACAAATCGCGCGCCGCATCAGCGGTGAAGGGAGCCTCCAGCGTCTCCAGGCAACACCGTGCACGGGACTCCTGCTATTTGCGTCGGCATGCCAGAAATAATCGCCTCATCACTTGACACCCATTGACACCGCATAGTAAGCGATGCAGCATTTGCAGCGCTACGCTCCACCTGTAACCTGTGCATTTCTGTGGCCGATGGTCATTGTCTATCTCGAACCACCACACCACACACGACTCTTCAAGTGAGAGCAGCCAGCGTCACACGGACGTCCCCATCTGCGCGTCCCTTTCCCCCCTACCCCCGCCGAGCGGCCTCAGCGGGCCCGACCGCCCGCCTCGCCAGGCGGCTGTCTCCCGCCCCAAGCCCGGCCGCCGGCTGCAGCGCGCCGGCCGGTGAGGACGCTGCGCCCCGCCCGGCCGGAGCGCCGCCACGCTCCGCTGGCGCCTGCCGGCGACACTCAGCCGTGCTTAGCGAGATGGCCGCGACAGTTGTGGTGTCGAGTCGGCGCGGATTAATCACACTCCGTCGCCGAGTGAAGTGTCCGGAGCGGACTGGGCTGGCGACGCGCAACCATCTGCGGTCGACGCGGTGCGACACCGACACCTTGTAACCTGCTTAGGCCGGCTTAGTGCGCGAGCCCTGCGCTGCGTCGAGACCCGGTGGCCGCGCGCGTTCCGGGCCCTCCAACGGAGCCTGTGCCACGTCACAGGACAGCATTCCGACATTGGCCGCAGCCCTTGCAGGCCAGGCGGCGGCGCTCGCCGGCATCTGTCGCACGCGGTGTATTCGGACAGCGTGTTGACGCGGTTGAGGGTGAGTTGATGGAGCGTCCCAAACCCGAGTGTGTGTGTGTGTGTGTGTGCGTGTGGGGGAAGGGGTGCCTGACTGTGTGTGTGGGAAGGGGCGGGGGGGGGGGTGGTGCGGTTCTCAGTGAGGGTTGGGCGGAGCGCCACTAACCTGTGCGAGACATGGCAGGAGCGCCGCTGCCTAGAGAGGCAGCGGGCGGACCTGACTGGGCGGTGGACAGACGGAGCGTCGCTGACCTGCGTATGGCGAGGGTGGGGTTGGGGTGCGTGAGGCGTGAGGAACGCCACCGACCCGCAGATGCGGCGCGGTGGGCGGAGCAGCACTGACCTGTGCGCGGGTCCACCCGGAAGCTGCCGTTGGCCGGGCTCAGGCTGTAGCGGAGCGAGGCGTTGGCGCCCAGGTCGCGGTCCGTAGCCGACACTGAGCCGAGCGCCACGCCCACCGCCGAGTTCTCCGACACGGCGAACTCGTACGTCTCGTTGCTGAACTCGGGCGCGTGGGTCGTTGACGTCGAGCACGCGCACGACCCGCGCGCGCGCGCGCGCGCTCCGCTCCGGCGTGCCGTTGTCGGTCACCTGCACGGTGAGGCGATGAAGATCGACCGTCTCGCGGTCCAGCTGGCCGCGCAGGTACACCCAGCCGCTGTTGGGGAAGATGCCGAACAGCTTGCTGGGCGACTCGACCAGCCGGTACGTGAGGCGCGCGTTATTGCCCGTGTCGGCGTCCGTGGCCGTCACCTGCAGCACCTGCGCGTTCACGTCGAGGTCCTCGCGCACGGCCACCTCGTACTCATCGAGCTCAAACGCCGGTGCGTTGTCGTTGAAGTCTTGCACGTCGATGTGCAGCGTGAGGTTGGCTGAGAGCGGCGGCGAGCCCATATCCGTGGCGGCGATCACCAGCTCGTACTCGCGCCGCCGCTCGTAGTCGACCGGCTTGGCCAGCGAGAGCGTGCCGTCGCGCGCGTTGATCGCGAACGCGTCATCCGGGTTGCGCAGCAGCCGGTAGCGCACGCGCCCGTTGTCGCCCGAGTCGAGGTCGCGCGCGTGCACGGCGTAGATGGCCGTGCGCAGCTCGGCGTTCTCCGGCAGCGAGAGCGTCGCCTCGAGCGACTCGAACTCGGGCACGAAGTCATTGACGTCGCCGATGGTCACGTTCACCTGCGGGCAGAGGCGGCGTCAAGGTGCAGGGCAAGGCGGCAAAGGCGCGTATGGTCAAGGGCTGAGGCAAAGGGCAGGTCAAGGTCAAGGGCTGAGGCAAAGGGTAGAGGCGCGTAAGGGGCTGAGGTAGAGTAGATGTCGCGTCAGGGTCTAATGTAGAGTGGGCGTCGCGTCAGGGTAAAATGTAGGGCAGGTGTTGCGTCAGGATCAATGGTAGAGCAGGTGTCGCGTCAGGCTCTAAGGTAGAGCAGGTGTCACATCAGGGGCTGGGGCAGGGCACAGGTGTCGCGTCAGGTTCTAAGGTAGAGCAGGCGTAGCGTGAGGGCAAAAGGTAGAGCGGGTGCTTCGCCAGGATCTGTGGTAGAGCAGGTGCGGCGTCAGGCTCTAAGGTAGAACAGGTGTCACATCAGGGGCTGGGGCAGGGCACAGGTGACGTCAGGGTCTAAGGTTGAACAGGTGTCACATCAGGGGCTGGGGCAGGGCACAGGTGACGTCAGGGTCTAAGGTTGAACAGGTGTGACATCAGGGACTGGGGCAGAGCACAGGTGACGTCAGGGTCTGAGGTTGAACAGGTGTCACATCAGGGGCTGGGGCAGGGCACAGGTGGACGTCAGGGTCTAAGGTTGAACAGGTTGTCACATCAGGGGCTGGGGCAGGGCACAGGTGACGTCAGGGTCTAAGGTTGAACAGGTGTCACATCAGGGGCTGGGGCAGGGCACAGGTGACGTTAGGGTCTAAGGTTGAACAGGTGTCACATCAGGGGCTGGGGCAGGGCACAGGTGACGTCAGGGTCTAAGGTTGAACAGGTGTGACATCAGGGACTGGGGCAGAGCACAGGTGACGTCAGGGTCTGAGGTTGAACAGGCTTCACACTAGCGCCTGATGTAGGAGACAGCAGCGATATTAACGGCGGCTGTCAACGCCTGATGCATGAGGACAGGTGCTGGCCAATCTATAACAAGGCGTTTGACAGCGCTGCTCCGGCTGATAACAATAATGGGCTGCAGTAACTCCCGAATGTACCTTGTTCACTTAAACAAACAAGGGTAGATAACCGCTCGCTATTTGATCGCCTTGATGGAATTCTTCGATCGGTCCAGCAATGAAGAGAATGCCATTTTGCCTCGCGGTTGATGCCTAACGAAGACAACAACAAAAAAAACAGAACAAACGGAGGCATTGGCTCCAGTTATTCTAGTCTTCTTGCTAGTTCAGTGACATGTACAAAGCGATTAGTCGCACAAAACGCGACGTTTCTTTGCAGCGTTCTGCAACCGCCTGGCTGCATCGCAAAGATGGACGTAACCCAATCAACCGACGGGCTTCACCAAGTGAAGTGCAGGCGACGGTGATCGGATAAAGTGCAGATGACGGTGATCAGATAAACCACGCAGAAATAACAGAGTTAACCGAAAAGGACACGCCGAATGAACCAGACGCACTTTACCGAATCAATCAACGTCAAGGAAAAATCGCATTGGCAGGCTGATGCTGTCAGATGACTGCGTTGCAGTGGTGCGGTTTGGCGCGCCAACGTGCTCCAGGGTCACTGACCTGCACGGACCCGGCTAGAAGTGTCTGTGGTGGCGCCTCCCGCTCCCCCGCTCCCCGCTGCCCTGCGGTGACCGTAGGGTGGGGGGCCGGCCCGACATGGCCACTGC